GTCCTGAGCTCCCGATAATTTTCATATTTTACAGTAAAAATTCCGTATTTTTCCACGTATTTTTCCAAAAAATCGATCAATAATCCGACTACTCACCAAAAATACAGCGTAAAACATCTTTTACGAGGGTCCGCTTCGGCGATGTCGATGTTGTTCCGATCACAAACCGGCACAATCGGCTCAGCTGCATACATTTGATGGGTTTATCATAGCATCTGTGCGCTCGGAATCGCTCACATTATAGCCGGGGCTATTGGGCCCCCTGGTGAGTCGTTACTTGTTTGAGGAACCCGACGTTGATTTAGGAGACTATAGGTCAATCAAGAATTAATAGGTATAATTAGAAAGGTAATGTGATGCATGTGACTTACTATAGCTTCTAAGTTGTAGTTGAGGCATGGGAGATAGTTCGGTTATGGTTAAGCTAAATTCCACAAAAACCTTGGAAAATTCTTGAGGGTCTCAAACTGACTAATTATTTCAAAAATGTGAGGTTATTGGTTTTGTAGAAATAAGGGACTCTTTAATTTCTCGCTTTTCTATGCAATGTTTCTGACGATGAATTGATTTTGCTGTCTCTGTCTCAACTAATAATCGCACACTACTCAGCTTTGTTGAAGAATATTCTGAAGTACTGCAGATAAGTCCATTTTTAAAAATTTTTTTACCTTTGATTCAAGTCTCTGCAAAACTTGAAGGGAAGCTTTGTATGTCCGGAGAGATCTCATAGAACCCTGATCAATGTTTTGCAACCTGGCCAAATTTTATTCGAGGATTTATTCTGGTGTCCACAGCCTTGGCGCAGCAACACTGGAGAACCTTCTTCTTCACATACTTTCGTATGATCGTCAATTTTACATTAGTCATTCAAAAGAGCTATTCGAGAGCTTTCGAAGCTTGATAGCAAGGCCTATGTTCCCAAGATTTACGGAACTAGCGAAAACGGGACCAAATGATTTCATACATGAAAATTCAAGATTATTTCTACAGGTTCCTGGGGTATAGAGAACTCATTTTTTGAGAACATGCACACCTCACAACGTTATAAAAGTTCTGGTAAGGAATTTTTATAAAAGTTCTGGTAAGGAAATTTTCTGAGTTATGTCATCTATGGATTAAATGAATGAACATTAATCGGGTTCCATCATTGCTGCCTATTTCAGTAAGATATAGATGTATGGAGAAATGAGAACAACAATTATCTTCATGACTTGATGATTGTGGCATGAGTTTTCACATTTTTTATTTACAAGTCTATAGAATCAACTCGAAGACGGGAAGCTCCCAAAGCACCTTTATGAGGAAAGCAAATTTCAAAACAGCGCATCCCAGAAGAAAATATTCATGTAAAACGGAACCCTCAAAGATTTGTATTGATGTCCTGAGAATTTCGCGAAGCATTTAGCCATCAAAAATCATAGCCGCATATAAGATAACTTATCGGCGCCCGTCATCACGAAAAGATATGTCAGAGCACAGCATGCTAACGTCTTGTCAAACAAAACTACAAGCTCAAGCGAACATTGCTATCGAAAACACAATGCTTTCATAGAATTTGAGAAAAAAATACAACGATGCAACAGAGAAATTAAGAAGAATGCAGTAGGTAGCAGGTGAGTACAAGCTCGAAAGTCTCAAAATTCCATATATTTCGGCCAACAGAGATCTATCACTGATCTTGCACAGATTAGGCAGATGGAGCAAGGCAATAAACATTTAAACAATGTAAAGCCTCATAACATAATTTTCTTGTCATAGTGTGACTTTCGATTTTATGTTTATTGCTAATGTGAGAAAAAAGCTGTGCAAAGCACTTGAAAATAAATATGAGTCATGATAAATCACCGAGTTTGCAGTAAAACTGCAAACACAGGATCGAGAAAATAGTATGGAAAATGACTTGTATGCAGAATGATGCAGTAAGAATTGGACTGTTTGGAAAATGAGGAGTATGTATGATAAAAAATAGAGTGAAATTTCTTCCATCGAACATGTCCCAAAATAGTCAATTAACAGTAAACTCCCCAGATTCATAATGGATAATTTTTTGAACCAGCAACTGGAAGGAAGCGAGTTTAGCAGAGGCAGTTATTTCCAAATAACCATAAATTCTGAAGTAGCATAAATCAAGCCAGTTTGATGAAGTCGCTCAAGCAAAAGAAATAGAATTTCAAGAAAAAGTTTGAGTGATGCGTTATTATACTTCATTATGAAATTTCCAAACCAGTTGCAATTGCTCTAGCGATGCAAGTAAAGAGATTCATCAGAAATTCCATCAAAACGACTCCATTACTGCACATTTTAGACTTTCTAGAACTTGAGTAAAACTAGAGACAGACGGAGCGATGAAGAGAGAAAAAAAGGATAGAGTGAAGCTTGAAAGCCTGAACATATGGCTGCCAGATGGTATCTCTTGTAGTTTACAACTAATTAACGAGATTTTTTGAGGATTTTTGGCTTTGGAAAGCCAGCTGTATAGGAGAGAAAATAGAAAATGGAGGAAACGGCGGAAAAGTGCATGAAATTCGAGCCTTCGCGGCGTCGCCGGAGAGATTTCGAGTGTAACAAAGTCGATTCGCTGCACTCAAATGGGTCATAAAATTCGGATAATCGATAGAAGGGAGTGCCGACAAAGCGAGCGACCTGTCTAAATCCAATAAAAAATCAAT